ATGATGAATATGTGCGTGGGGTTTTGATGTCATGAAAGTAGTATTTTAGGGAGAATGGTCTGACAGTTGTGTATAGAATAGAGTTGGAAAGAGTCCAGTAAGGTCCTGGAAAAATTATGTGATTTGAGATGGTAATATGCATTAGAAAGGTGGTAACAGATTAATATGAAGTCTTAGGAGAAGGGAAAAGATAGATTCACTTATAATTCTTAAGAAATCCAGCTTAGATTTTCAAGGCATCAGTAGTACTGTTGATAGAAATAGGGACATGAAGATGCAGAACAGAATTTAGACACAAGGTACCCAAGCCCAGAAAGTTGGAAGCTGTGCTGCAGAGGTGAGGTTTAGGCTTAGGTAGGCTGTGTGAATGAAAAGAGCATGGGTATTGACCAGGTGTTGGGAGGTGTCCAAGGGAGCTAATGTAACCTAACATTGCTATCCAAATTTATAGTCTCTGAAGTAACAGAGCAAAATCGATTAACAGTAATAGTTGCACTAATAAAGAAATATGTAACACTCCCAAACCACAAGTGAAATTCATTTGTGACCAATTGGGGTTCAGTTTTAAAGGCATAATCTATTCTGCATGTATCCTCCTGTCCAGTTTTGCCTTAACAAAGGCGATTTGCTAAGAAAATAGGACAGAATTCTAAACTCCAATTAGCTGGTGCTATCAGAGATTAATAACACTTTAGACCTGCTGGAAGCGACTTCACATCTGAGCTTCTTTTTACTGTGTCATGGCAACAATTTACAAATTTTAATAATAGATGTCCTTTTTGAGAAATTGCCTTTCCTTATGCTATGGGAGGTTTTATGATTAGACCATACCTCTTTCCTTGCAGTTGTTTTCAAGGCATTTATGTTACCATTTTTGCTTATCAGTAATGGCTCAAAAATTTTCTAACACAGAGCAATTAATATCTGTCAGTAGAAATAAATTACATTTTTCATCGCTTGTGACATGCTCTCAAATGCTGTTTGAAAGTGCCATAATTATGCATCATCATGCTATGTAATTTTGGTGCCTGATGTAGTAGTGCTTTAGGGGTATGATTTATATTTTCTGTTTTTTCTTTTTTTTTAAGAACTGAATTAATAGGATGGGTGTAAGGATTGGGATATAAGTTGGGAAATGACATTTTGCAGAATAATTTGTATTATCTCTGTCCTAAGGCACTGTCCTTAGAATTGTTCACATATTTTATATATATTTCTATATGCAAATGGTGTATATTATGATTTTACCATCAATAAATTTTGCCTTATAGCACTAGAAGGCACAACATGCTTTTAGAAATTGAATGAATAGAATGTATATATGTTCAGAACATATTTTTCATTGCCGTAAGGAAGAAGTGTATATTTGCAAAATTGTTACCTTTGGAGGGGCCTTGCCTTTTCAGCACAACAGGGCCACCCTGGTGCTGTATGCTGGCCATAATTACTGGTCACCGGTGAGGGTCTATGACGGGCAAAGGACCCAGGGCACCTTCTGTTTGTCCTTGGCCCCATTTTCTTCTCCTTTGGCCCTGCAACCTGGACTTGACAATTTGATTTCAGCCTGTTGCTTTGGGGTGGGTTACCTATTTGCACTCCCTTCTGGCTTAGTAGATTCCGGCTTGCCCGGAGGCTCTGGTCTTCCACCACTCACCCCCACCTCTTTCTCAGTCGGGTGAGAGATTATCACATGGGTCAAGAGGGTGGGGAGAGAGGCTGCAAGGAACTAGGGTAAAAACCTGGCAAGTCGCAAAGGACTTGCGCCTACTAATTAAGCCTCTCAATTGCAGTTGTGCTTAAAGCACTTACTGCTCTCATCAGTTGCTAATTAATGAGCCCACTACTGGGTTCAGGCATTGCTCCACAGCAGCCATTCTTAAAGTGAGCAATTTGTTTCATCCTGCTAGACTACAATCAGTGATCCCATTCTGAAACAAGAAGAGCTTTAACTCATAAATTTATAATTCAAGAAATATTGCAACTTACATGTGGTTATCATAAAGAGAAATGGGGTCGGGGAGGGACCACTATCACTCACTGGACAAGTCTTTGTAGAATATCTACTATCTCCAAGGGCTGAGCTAAGGGGGGATATTCCTCAGGAATGCAGTTTGGGGATGTGGTTTTCAAAACAATCAAGGGTCATTACAGTGAAATCTGTCCTCACTTCCCGTCTCTTAACATTTTTATTTTTTACTGTAACATTTTTGGTTGGGTTTATCTAGGTCTGGATAAAAGACACACAGGAGGATAAGGAGATAGAAACCTAACATATAGGAATTTTGCAACAAATGCATCCCCACTTTTTCTTGAAACTTCTGAAATTATTCCTTCAGGAAAGGCTACGCGCTACTGTATATCATATCATATCATCACAGCTGTGAGCAAAGTTGGGGCTTTACTATTTTAAAATTTTAGAAGAGAAGCTGTATTGAATTTCTCAATTGAATTTCAAAAAAGATATCTTAGTGAATAGAGAATTGTCTTCCTATGTGGGCCTCAAACTATTAGATCCCCAAATAGAATTTTAGCAATTTATACTATAATAGTTAAATTGGTTTCAGTAAGTCAAACCCTTCTCCACAAAGCTGTGATTGTAGTATATTTTTAATTATGGGAGCATTGAAAGCCATCAGCTCACAATGATTTCTTTTAAATAGAATCATAAAGCAGAGCCTTTCACTCTTCTAATTCCTTTGTTTAGGGAGTCACCAAGTATTCTTAAGTGAGTCACTTTAGAATGAACAGCTTATTGTGGGATTGAGTTTTAATATATTGAATAAGAATAACAAATCAAAGTAGAAGGAACCTTAGAGATTATGGTCATCTCATTTTACACCCTTCTATTTAATTTCTAAGACAAATACCTAAAATGATTGAATGCAAAAAAAGGAACTAAAGCTGCTCACTGGATGGCACGTTGGTAATTGGTAGTTACGGTTTTAAAGGAGTAAGGGCGTTAGGTTAATTGGCATAATGTGAAAACAGGTGCTTTATATTTTCAAACATTTTATTAATGATTCCCTATTGAGCTCCCATTTTAATTTAACATTTATGCAGAAGTTCATATTTGGAAAATGTTTGTAGTCATTTTTATTTGTTGTGTCTTTTATATGAGATGGGTCAGCACATCTTTTTATATAGGTAAGTCATCAATTAATATGTGGAGTACCTGGCATGTAGTAAACAGATGTTTCTGCCTTCCAGGGAATTACAAAATTTAAAATTCACTGCTTTTTATCTTAATATTCCAAAGATCTTACAGTGACCTTTGTTTAATTGTTTTATCTTCTGTTAGTTAAACTGGTTTTTAACAAATTGTTCCTAAAAATAATAATAATACTGGCCACTGATTAAGGGCTTCCTATGTGCCTGGCAGAATACTAAGCTCTTTGCATATACTGTGTAATTTAATTTTCATAATAGGTCCATGAGGCAGATACTATCTCAGTTTTATAGATAAGGAATCTGAGACTTGAAGAGGTTTAGACCATGTAACTTGAGTGTGAAGTTCTAGATCTGGTAAGTGAAGGGGTTGGTGTTTGAACCCAAAGCCCTGCCCCAACCCCCCTGCAGTGTGTTGCAGTAACAATGATGACTAAATCTGTTGAACAGCAATTTGGTGGTGGTGTTCTAAGTGAGCACTTAACAGCATATTTTCATTGAATGCCTGCAGCAATTGTAGGTATTTTATTTCCAACCTACAGATGCAGAAACTGAGATGGAGAAAGGTTAAAGAACATACTTAAAATTACATAGCTATTAAGGGACATAGCTGAGTTTCAAAACAGATGGCTCTGGCACCAAAGTCTGTTGCTGTCCCTATATTCCAAATTGTCCTTTTTAAAACATTTCTTTTTGTGCGTGATAAGAACATAAAAGCAATCCTTATTTGAAGCGAGCCCAGCATGTATCTGTGAGTGGCTGAATGAGATTTTCTCTGGAAAGTTTGTTTAGAACATTATCCTTATTTTCTTTCAGTACATGTTTCCCAGCTTCAGCTGACAAGGGAGCCCGAACCATCTCTTGTTCTTTATTCTTCCAGTAAAATTACATGTCGAGAAGACCACAGTAAGCTCAGTTGCACTGAGTTACAGATAATAATGTTTTTTTGTTTGGCTCTTCCCAGAGTTATAAGCATTTCCTGGGATAATTTTAGTGGAGTTCCAGGTGATAGGCACTGGCTGGAGATGATTTTTCATATGGCCTTTTGGGATTCTGCAAAACATAGTAGTAGTTGGCTCTCTTTATTATGTGTTAAGAGCAGCACGAGCCTCAGTGAGCTGCTTTACAAGATGCTGTTATCTTTTTAGGGGTTATCTTTTTCTTTCTGATTTTAACAATGAAAATTAGTGAGAAAAATCAAGACTCATTTCATAACAATTCTTTTTTATTTCATTATACATGCTCTATGAAGCAAAACAAGAGGAAGCATATATGAGGATATGACAAAGATAAGAGTTAATTAAAACAGCAACAACAACCCAATCTCTCTCCCATTTACAAAGGTATAAGACTTGCCGATGTAAGACATCTTACAGTGAAGTTCATTAAGTGAATACCTCTAAAATGGCATCTACATTACATGGATTAGAGAATTTATTTTCTCTAAAATTTCACCACTATCAGTTTAGTCATTTGGAATAATAAGCTTTTTTAAAAGTAGAAATAGGCCGGGCGCGGTGGCTCACGCCTGTAATCCTAGCACTCTGGGAGGCCGAGGCGGGAGGATTGCTTGAGGTCGGGAGTTTGAAACCAGCCTGAGCGAGACCCCGTCTCTACTAAAAATAGAAAGAAATTAATTGACCAACTAAAAGTATATATACAAAAATTTAGCCGGGCATGGTGGTGCATGCCTGTAGTCCCAGCTACTCGGGAGGCTGAGGCAGGAGGATCACTTGAGCCCAGGAGTTTGAGGTTGCTGTGAGCTAGGCTGACGCCACGGCACTCACTCTAGCCTGGGCAACAAAAGTAAAAAAAAAAAAAAAAAAAAAAGTAGAAATAACCATTGGAGAGTAAACATGTTACATCATTTCATGATTTATACCTATCTTATAGAAAAATAGCTTGCCTTGTTAGAATTTGGCTAGATGGGATTTGATCTCTCATGATTTTTACCTCTTTTGTCTGGTGTGTTCTGGTCATTTCCTTAAATCTGTCCCCCAGATCACTAGTAAATATTCTCTTCAGCTGGGATTATCTATTTAATCTGTCCATGTGGTATTTATATGTCCACTGAATATGCCATTTTAGGGACAATATTTTTCATTTCTAGCAGTGCCGAATGATCCCTTTCCACATTTGCCAGTTTATGCTTTTCTTTCAGCATCATTTCTATTGTCTTATCGCTCTAATGATTTTAATGTATTTTTTAATAATCTCTTTTAAAATTGTTCTATTCTTTATTGGCCTCTAAATGCCAATTCTCTTGTTGGTCATGTCTACTGACTCTTCCTTGTGGTGATTAGTTCCTATACATCATTTGTAGATCTTGGTGGTGAGCTAATCTTCAACTGGAAGTGTTTGTGTTGCTAAAGACACTTCTATGTGTCTAGGATTGAGGAAGTATCCCTTTAGGGTGTTTTGCATTTGCTTTGGGAATTTTCCTGGTTTGGGGCCAGTTTTATGGTTAATGTCTTGGCTGGAGTGTTTTGTTTTGTTTTTGACTACTTGAGTCATATACATTTAGATCTTTACAGCCTTTCTCATGGTTGGAATTCTTACATGGTTGGAATTCTTATTTCTCAACCACCCAAGAGAGATGCCAAACCAATTCTTGCTGCTTTCTAGTCTTTGAAGTCCACTTTTCAGGAATTGGGAACCCCTGGAAGGGTCCCAGCTTTACGCTGGGGTCTCAGTTCCAGCACTCCACCTTGTGGACATTAGAATCCTAGCTCCCGCCCCTAGAGCCTCAACTCTGTGTGCTTCCCCTTGAAGCACTGAGACTGCCCTTTCTTTTGAGCTCAGCTAGAAATAAAACTTTTGGAGTTCACATTTTGTCTGCATTTCTATGTGTTAGTAGCAAGAGAGGGTCTGTGTCACCTCGGCCTATCATGTTACTTGAAATTTTAGCTATCGTAGATTTGCATTGAGGGATTTTGCCAGTGTTGGCAGGTGGAGGAAGGAATGATGTGGAACACAGAGCACTGCCAAGGCAAGTCAGACTTTGGGCACCCCAAGGGGGCTAACAGGAGCTTGGAAAGGGGGACAAGAGGCATTGGCCTTTAGGGTGCGAGAGGAGAGGAAAAGTAGGAGAGGGCAGAGAGGGGAGGCTGGGAGCAAGGAGACCAATGTCACATTCTTGCCTAAGGGTGATTTTGCCCTCACCCTGCAGAAACAGAATTTGTTTTCCTCATTGAACGCTGTGACATTTACCCAGCCAGATCACACGAAGGAGAGTCTTAAGGCCTCAGAGGCAGGTGCATGATCTTCTTTTACAGTTGAAAGGTCAGGGTGATTTCTACCCATCTCTGGTAATTTTACAGTGGGTATATTTTCTGTCCTTTTCCTACCATCTCCAGTTTATTTTTAAACTAATCTTGCATACTTCTTTAAAGAAAAATCTTTTGATTAAGCTTTTTGGTTCTGAATCATTTAATACTCACTTATATTTTCATCTGGACTGTTAGAAGCAAACTCAGAAGGTCACTATTTCTTAATTTTCCTTTAGAGATGTTCGGAGCAGAAATAGATTTTTAATTGTTATTATCGGCAACATGTTCTGTTCGTTTTGAAGTCTTCTGGATTTTACCTTCCAGATTGAAAATTTTCTGTTTTTGGCAACTATTTGCTTCTATCAGGCACAGAAATTGGTTGTTTAGAGATCTCTTGGATGATGCTGTATGTGTTGCTTGGAAGGTGAGTTCTCTTTAGCAGGAATCTGCACAGTAAACCTTATTAATGAGCACTTTAGATGTAAGTTCTGAAATGAAAAATAGGCATTGAGACTGGAAGGAAATATCAACCCAAATCACGAAGCAGGTGACATACTGCATTTCAGCTCTAGACCCTCATGTCTGTTCATCTCTGTCCCTCTTCTGATCTCTCTTTCCTGTCTGCCCAACCCCCACCCCTATTCCTATAGTTTTGGGGTTGCCTTTGTCTGCTTATCTGATCCTGTGGTCAAAACCACACTTACCTCAGAAGTGTGGGCTGCCTGCCCCAGAGCGTTTCCAGGGCTCGGCACAGCCAGCCTTGTGGCCAGTGACAACTTGGTTCAGTTTACGGCCACAGGTCCTGTCCGGGCCTTCCTTCCAAACCAGCCCCTCAGCTCCACGTCAGCTGCCATCCCTGGAGCAGTGGGAAAGAGAGGGGGTTTGTTTCTCTACTAACAATGATAATGATAATAATAAAAATAATAGCAATGATAATAATAGCCAACATACATATTATGCCAGGTATTGTTCTGAGCACTAAGTACATTGACCTAATGGCTGCAGGAGGTGGCACTCTTATTAGTCTCATCTTATAGATGAGGGAACTGAGGCACGATCCAGTAGTCACACAGCCAGCAGTGGGCAGAGCCTGGAGTAAATGAGCTCTGGCTGGCTGTCCAGAGCCGCGCAGCCTCACGCTCGGCCTGGCTGTGGTCCCCATGCCCTGTGGGGTAGGACCTGTGACCCGCTGGGGTGGATTTCCTGTGTCACTGCCTTTTTCTAGATGAGGCACTTGTACGCCCAGGGGTTCAGCTCTGATCACCACTTTGTTTCTCTGCTCCGCTTTTGATTCCTGGCAGGTTTAGCTTGTTTCTGAGTCTGACTGTCTGTTTAATCTTTCTCTTCTATTTCCTCTCTCGTTGCAATGTGCTTGGACAGAGGAGATACCTCAAGAGTGTGGACTCCCGGGCTGTCTTGACTGGAAGTCTCCAGTGCCTTCTTGGTGGAATATATTCATCCATTCACTCATTCCTTCACTCCTTCAGCATCGATTGTTGACTGCCTGTCTACGTCAGGCTCCATGTCAGTCGGACAAAGTGCAGGGTCTGTCCTCAGGGAGCTCACGGTCCCCTGTGAGGAATTACATATGGCCTTTTATGCTGTGGGAAATGCTGGCTCTGAGGCTTCACTCTGCCTGGGGGTGGGTGGGGTGGGAGGACAGGGAGAGGTCAGGGGAAACTTCACAGAGAAGGTGACACTGGAGCTAAGGCTGCGATACACCTTCTCCCAGTACTCCAGGCGGGGAACCAGCGTGCGCCCAGGCTCTGAGACGCAGGCGATCAAAGTGTGACGGGGACTGACCAGGCAAGTGCACGGGATGGGGTGAGATGACCTGAGGTGGGAAAGGCGGCCAAGTGTGGAGCCCAAAGGGCCCTGAGGACCTGGCTAAGGTGTCTGGATTTTACTTACTTTTCACACGATGAGGGTGCCATTGAATGACAACAAACTATTAATCTGCTATTTGGATGATTTCTTTTTGAGAAAATTGTATTTCCTATTTGAAAAGCCAGTAAAATATGAAGTACGCTCATTTACTCTACTATCCTTCAGGCATAAATCATTAAAATATAGAAATACACAAAGCGAACAATCACAGGTTTGAAGAACTTTGGGGAGGGTGGCCTATTGAAATAAGTTCTTTGGAGATTACTCTCTGAGTGCTTTGTGAATCTTTAAAAACACAGCCAAAAGACTGTGTTTCTCTCTAGTGAACTTTTCATGAATATGGAAAAGTAGTGGTTTTTTTTTTCGGATCTAGAGTTTGGTGTAGTTAGGGAATATTTTCGAAATGATATTAAAATTCCAGAGGGTATATGTATTTTAAAAAAATGATTCACTGCTTAGTTTTTCTCCAAGCATTTTAATTTTTAGTTCTTCATTGAAACCCTCTCACAAAAGTACCAAGAAAGCTAGTGGGTTGGAGCTTTTATTGTAATATGTAAATGAGGCCTGGTCTTGAGACACAGTCAAGTTTTGGCCGTGTGTGTTTATGTGAGATATATTTATGTAACACGTCCTGTGCTGCTGGAGGCTCCGTGTAGAAAATGCAGCATTGTAAGAGTTTAAGACTCACAGTTCTTTCTGTCTTTTTTGGTCATGGTTTTGGAAAGGCCTTTAGAGAACGACAGAGTAAAACACAAAGGCCATTTTTTTCCTGTTACGTGTTTATCTTGGTTAATAGTACACTAGGCGTAGCTGCAATGAATCATCAGAGGCTCTATGTCTGACCCCAGGGGGCTGACAGGCACGGGTTTGATAAACCAATGGTAAAACTTCAGCCTGCACTCTATTGCAGGGAGTGACAAGTTCTTGAATCCTACGACCAGCGAAAAATGAGTTCGCCCGAGGAAGCATGTACAAATTACTTTCATTGTTGCTGGTTGTCTTGATATCAATATCGAGCACGTTGTGAACAGACATTCTGGCTTTACGCAAGTAGTTGTGCACAAGCAGGAGCCCATTATCTTGTTATCATATTCAATTTTCTTCCCATTCTGTTAATTGAATTGAAGCTACCCTCGCTGCTTTTTTGGGGCAGTGGAAGCGTTACGGATATCCTGAACTCTCAGCTGTATAAAGGATTGATTCTTTGTCTTAGCCAGCTTTATCTGTGACTTCCCTGTGTGTGCTACCTCTTGTTTCTGTCCACAGCATGATGCTGTTAAATGTGTGTTCTATCCATCCAGCCTGTGATGATGGAGCACTGATTAGCCTTTTTGGGTTACTTTGATTTTGAAATTGACTAGCCTCCTACTCTGTAAATCATTTATTCCAAAATTCCTAGTAATCAAAATAATATTAATGATTTTTCTACTACCTAGGCCCGCAGGGTAAATTAACTGGTGGAAATAGCGTTGAAAAGCAATGTGGTTGAATAGATCTGTTCTTACCTTGTTGACCGAATAATTTTGTAAATGTCCACCAATTTCAAATTTAGCCCAAAACCACCGTGGAAAGAACTCTGCAGTTCAATTAGCAGGAGATAAATTGCATGATGCTTGTAATCAGAAAAACTGGCATAAACTCAATGTTCAATTACTACCTCTAACCTCTTCCTACTTTCTGATGTATCCCTTCAAAGCCACTGAGGATTCGAGGATGATAATTAACTTTTAGGGTGAATTTAAAGAAGTAATTTGACATTTAATCAGGGCTGTATTTTGGCTCATACCTTTTGGTATGGCTAATAGCTACAGTAGATTTTTATGATTTTCTAACTGGTCAGTCCCAGTGTTCTTTGGACTGATTTTTTACCCTGAAAATAATGCCAGATATGATTTTGAGGTGTATTTTAACTGTATTACATTGCCTGCCACATTGTTAGTTCTTAGTTGAGCAAATGGAAACACATAATGTTTTTCTTTTTATCTTTTGTACATTGCACACCAGCTTGGATTGGTGTGTTATTTTCTAAGTTTTGTTTTATAGAATGATCTCGTTATATGTATATTTTCATTCAAAATGACTTTGAATATTGAAAATGTAATTTACAGAATTGAAAAAAGAATGTTAAGGACCAAGGCAAAGCCAGAGACGTCAGAAGCTGGAACCAGGGACATGAACACCCACAAAATTCTCTTTGCATCGTACAGTTCTAATTATTCCAGCCCCTTGGCTTTATTCTCCTTTAGTGTACACAAACTTTCCTCACAGGAGGGGAAAATAGCTGTGAGCAGCTCCTTTTAGCCTAGGAACATGACAGTAAAGAGAATCTTTCTCTTTTAGCTTTAGATTGAAGAAAAGCCACAGGGGGCCAGGTGCCTGGCTCTCACCTGTAATCCTAGCTCTCTGGGAGGTCGAGGCGGGTGGATCGTTTGAGCTCAGAAGTTCCAGACCAGCCTGAGCAAGAGCGAGACTCTGTCTCTACAGAAAATAGAAGGAAGTTAATTGGACAGCTAAAAATATATAGAAAAAATTATCCGGGCATGGTGGTGCATGCCTGTAGTCCCAGCTACTCTGGAGGCTGAAGCAGAAGGATCGCTTGAGCCCAGGAGTTTGAGGTTGCTGTGAGCTAGGCTGACGCCATGGCACTCAAGCCTGGGCAACAAAGTGAGACTCTGTCTCAAAAAAAAAAAAAAAAGCCACAGGGAAGGATTCTGATTGGCCCAGCTTAATATCCTTGGCCCTAACATGGCAGGGAAATATTATAATGATTTATGATTAGCTGGGTCGCATGCCCACCAGTGCAGTGTTTGCTACCAAAAGAAAGAGGATGGTCTGTGAGCCAGGCAGTCATCCCAATTCGTGCCTATCATAGTCTTATCAGATTTATAAACCAGACTTATTAAGTATGAGAAAAGACTGTGATCTAGGTGGTCCACTTCTGATTGAAAATAAGACAATAGTGCCTGGAAGAAGTACGTCTCTGTTTCCTAGACCTTGGGTCTAGCAGGAGGAGGATAGTATCCTATCCTTCTTCCTTTTGGCCCAACGGGAATGCCATTCCTGGTATCCTCCTCCAGGTTGGTGCTGAAGTTTGTCTTTACCTCCATTGTATTTATCACACATACTCTAATAATTGTGTACAAATCTGCTTGCCTGACTGCCCTGTGAGCTCCTTGAGGCCCAGGGCTGTGCCTTACTCATGTTTAGAAAATACTCATGTTATTAAATGAATGCTTGATGCTTGTTGAATGAATACATTTTGGGAAGTATAGCAGCCTGCTATAGAGTTAAAGTGCTGAATGACAATACAGTTGGATTATGCGTGTCTTTTACTCTAGATTTGTACTACAAAGCTTTTAAAGGCAATAAACTTTTCTACAGCTGGCAGAGTTGCCTACACACCTTCGGGGAGCTCATGTCCTTGCATTTCTGTTGCTCTGAAAGTGCATCAGTCCCTTCCTGTGTTGTCTCATAATCTACTTCCTTGTAATGGTCACCCTGTGCTCCTGATAGAGCTGTCAGCAGAACTGCAGTGAACACATCTCTTCCACTTGATGGCACTTTAGATATCTGGAGATAGGTATTGATGCTCATCTTGGTTTTTCTCCTGCAAAACCATCCCCAGTTCTTCCAGACATTTCTTAGTGAGAAGGATTTCTGGATCCAGCCCTCTTGGTTATAGCCCACCTGTAAACCTTTGGGTGTTCAGTGGCCATCTTAACTGAGTTGCCCAGAGCCAAACACAAACATCTACCTGACTTGTGCAGAATTTACCATGGGATACTTATTTCACAATCACAATCCTTGTTTCACAAACCAAGATCACAATCAGTAGTTTTAGGAGTGGAACCCTTTCCTTGAAGAAATTTTATGCAAAATCTACTTTGTATAATAAATGAAAGAGGGTATTTTCTGGTCAAAGGGAGTTTGTTGTACAAGGGGGAAGGCCCACCAGCCTATGTTTTATCT